CCTAGGTTTTGGGAACTGATATGTAAAAAAACATGAATAGTCATTTCTGTGGGTATCCCCATCACGGTCTTGGCCCCTTTGCTCATATCACTCCTCTCTCTCTCTCTGACTAGACTCCAGGAGTTGGTCCCAGTGCTTAGCTGTAAATCCTATTCAAGCTATTGGGGGCTCCCTGACCCTGGACTGACAGCTAAGGGACCAGCTTAAGACTGAACTAGGCCCTCTGAATGTGGGTGACAGTTGCATGGCATGGGCAGTTTGTCTGGCAACAAGCAGTGGAACAAATATTCATCCTTAGTGCATAATTTAGCTCTTTGGAGCCTATTCCCTGTAGAGGAATAACTTGCTCAGCCTAGCTAACGGGTATGGGGGCGAGGACCTTGGTCCAGCCCCAAGTGATATGACAGACTTTGTTGACTACTCATGGGAAGTCTTGCCCTCTGATGAGTGCATGGGGGAGCATGGGGGGGAAAGTAGAAGGAGTGGGAGGATAGGAGGGAGAGGGAACTGGGATTGGTATGTAAAATATTTTTTAAAAAAAGAATGTGGATACAGAAAGTGGCGCTGACAGGGTCCACAGGAGGTATCAATGTAGGGTGTTGCACCAGCTTCTCTAGTTCCTGGTAATGGGGATAGAGGTGATATCACAGCAGGTGATCCAGAACAGAGCTGGGAACAAGACTGGGTGATTAGGTGTGGAGCAAAGGAGGCAGAGTGAAGATCTAAGGCTTGTCAAGCTGCTCCGCTGCCCTGCTGCCATCGCTGGCAGGTTTGCCATTTGGGTTCCCAGGGAAGACCTGCTTGAGGTGGGGCCTGAAGCAAAGACATGAGCTAGGAGGAAGGTTGGAGAAGATCAAGATCGGTATGATCTACTGAAGATGGGTGTAGCGAGGAGCTGCAGGCAGGCCTACTTTTTGTCCTACCCGGCTCCCGCATGGCTAGCTTAGCCCTGGAAATAACAACACACAAATTGTATTCATTTAAACACTGCCTGGCCCATTATCTCTAGAGAGTTACCTACTGGCTAACTCTCACATCTTGATTAACCCATTTCTAATAATCTGTGTAGCATCACGAGGTGGTGGCTTACCAGGAAAGATTCAGCATGTCTGACCTGGTGGCTGGCTCCATGGCATCTGTCTCATTGCCCTCCTCCCATCATTCTGTTCTGTTTACTCCGCCAACCTAATTTTCTGTCCTATCAAAGGGCCAAGGCAGTCTCTTTATTAACCAATGAAAATAACACATAGACAGAAGGCCCACCTACATCAGATGGGGGCATAGAGAGAGGGGAGGCCGAAGCATGCAGTCTGCCACAGAGCTGGGGTATTGGATTTGGCGGAGAAATAAACGTTATAAATGTGTATATATGGGAATTACCAGGGGAAAATGGCAAAGGATTTTGGTGTGAGTGGAGATGAGTCCCAGACCTCCAGTTTCTGGGTCGTGCTGTGTGATTTACTAGCAATTTTGAATTTTCGTTGTCAGCAACTGTGAAGAGTAACAAGCCGACAGCAGCTTGATCCCAGACAACAAAGAAAGAGGCTTGCAGTCACAGGTGATGTGGGTAATAATGCGGAAGCTTTTGTACAGTGAAGCTTTTTAATCTGGGTGGAGGGAAATGATTTCTTTCCTCTTTACTTTGCAATAACTATTGAATCAAGCAACCAGCCTTCATGCTACAAGGAGAGGAAAAGGTCTTCTTCCACCTTGCTTTCTCAATGGACTGTACTTAAGAATAACATGGGGTTTTTACTATTGGTAACCAGATTCTTCAAAACATTTCCCACCAGAAAACCAATGACAAAAGTCCATGAGAAAAATTCTGTTTCGTTATTATAAAAATTCGTTTGAGTTACTGATTGGAATCAATTGCGCTTTCAGTCTGTCCTTAGCAAGAGAAGTCGATATCCTTAATGATAAACACTCCTCTTCAACCATCATTAAAATAAGTTAATATTGGAAATGATTACATGAAGAAAATTGTATTTGTCTGTTTGCCTTTTAATTGTTTCCTTAAACAGCGTGCAGAGAGCTGATGTGGACCCAGACGGTTATGGAAACAGTTTATGCAGGAGGGAGTGATTTTTGGCATGAATGCAGAGGACTCCTTTTCAGTTTCAGGGCTCTGGAAAATATAAAATGTGACAACATATTTCTATGAAAAAAAATCTCACAAAATGCAATTGTAAGAACTTATGAAATTTTGGGATACAACAAAACATATATTGTGTACCGACAAAGTAAAATTAGTTGTTAAGTGTATATAAATGCTACTTTAGGGTAGGAATGTGGTAAGAAAAGTAAAACTATAATGCTTAGAGAGTAAAAAAAAAAGGAAAATGGGGCAGCAGCTACGACTGCAGCTCAGTAACAGAGGACATCCTGGGAATAATTGCGAGTGAGAGGAGAGAGAGATGAGAGAGAGAGAGAGAGAGAGAGAGAATACTGACTTCACAATTACAATTGCTAACTTCATAGACCCTATGGTACTGCAATGTCTGTGCGTCTGTGCATATATATCTGACAGGATGCCCTTCTAAACACAAAGCGTATGCTATTTTTCTTCAAATTTAAAAGTTTACCAGTTCAATTATAACTTTAAAGTTTTAAATGTAATTTCTATGTTGTCAGTTTCCCTCATACCCAATGATTTATTTTACTGCAGACATGTGACTGCAAACAGAAATCATCAAAATCTTAATTTAATGTTTACACATTTTTCACTTTTAACGATTTTTAATATTTAATTTTCCCCAAAACATGCCACATGCTGTTTCTTCTTAAATAAGATAATCCTTATGTTTTGCATTTGTAATGGTCTACAATGCCTTCAAATCTAAATCTTTGCTGGCTGGCCAGAGTAAGTATTACATTTTATAAAACAAACCATCTGCCAAGGGTGATGTACCTCAGCCACTGTATATCTGGGATACTTAGAAAAAGTGTTCACATTAGTGCGGACATTTCATGGCAAGTATGTCTGTCATGAAAAGCAATAATCCCTTTTTTTTTTTTTTTTTGGATATACAGGGCCCCAGGCAGATACAAAGCTTGCAGGCTACCATGTTGAATAAGTTTCTCTTAACCCAAAACATTGGTTAAGATAGTATGGTGGGGTTTGGAAATTTACCTGTGTTAAACTAAGATGCTTTACGGACACTATAGTGAGAAGAAACTCAACATCCAGACCTGTGATACATTGATACAAATATACACACATTAAGTAAATAAGCAGGCATGTGAATAAATGTAATTAAAACCAAAGTAAAAAATAAATAAATACAGAAATGGGTGTTATTAAAAGCTAGTTAAAATAAAAGTTCTTGTGCTCTATATTCTCTCAGGTGTGTCATAAAATACTTATGTTTATTAAATTACAGATTTATTGAAGAAATGAAAGCATGGCCCTTTAAGAGTATACAGAGTTGACTTCAACCGAGCTTTAAGAAGAGGGAGAGATGGAGAGAGAAGGAGAACTAGGAATAAGACTGGAATATTCTATACTGTTTGTTTAACAGAAATTATTACCAGACTAGGCGCCTTCTATGTTAATATGTCATTTAATTTTCTCAGACACTGCCTTCCCTTTTCTGGCCTGTTTTAAACTGTTTGTGTAAAATTTACTTTTAAATTTTGCATGATATTACAGTTTACTAACTGCTAATTTTTTTTTTAAAAAAATGTTTTTGCTGGTATCCAAACACAGAGATGTGATCATTTCCTTTTCATGAAAAAAAAAAGAATAAAGAAAAATCAGCTATTCAGGAAACATCCTATTGATGAGCTAATTTTTCATAGAAGACAAGGAAGAGATGGGAAATTTGTGTGTGTGTGTGTGTGTGTGTGTGTGTGTGTGTGTGTGTGTTATGGCTGATTTTCTGATGTGTCGTGGAAGTTATAATTGAATTTTACCGGGAGAGGGGGTGACTTTGTCATTAATACAAAATTACAGTTCATCGTTCTTATGAAAGCAGCTGCTTCCCTGAAGCTCTTAATATGTGTAATCCTCATATATGACAGTTGAGTTGGATGAGTCTTCTCTGTTTGTTAATATCTATTAGAACCTTCTTTTTCTGGGGTTGTGGTGAACAAATGTCTACTTTCCCCAGTTGGAGCACTGGTCCCAGACCAAGAGAGTACACCAGAATCCATCTTGGGCAGCCAGGGGAATAGAGGGCTTTCAGAGCATGGGGGAGGGGTGAAGAATTTAAAGGGCTGGGATTGAGGTATTAGGATTTTTGCCTTTACTCTGCCCACTAGTCTGTCTCCTGAAATGGAATGGTAAAATTTAACTTGACTTGAATAAATACTGTGCGACATAGTTGTGTTTGTTCAAAATGAGACTCTGATTAGAGCTCACAGCTAACTTTCACCAGTTTAGACAAGTCTAAACATTAGTGCGACGGTGCTATATAGCAATGTTTTAGAAATACACCCAATTTCAGGATAAGCTTCATCACAGCACCCTTTTGTGAGACATGCTTGATTATAAAAACCTTAAATGTTTACTTTTGTCTCCAGATGAACGCATACTTTGTTTTTATTGTTGTTGTTGTTCCCCGCCCCCCCCTTCCTCAACCACAGAGGACCGCAGATGTGAAAACGTTGGTTTCAGAAGTTGTATTCGAGGAGAAGGATTGTGTGGAATAAGAAAGAGATGTCAGAGAGAAAGTGGGGCGACGGTAAACAGAGCTGAAGACATTATTTTTGCCTGGTCAATAATACTGTCACCGAACATAAGCACTGGACTTCTTAATCCTGTTTAATTGAAACGGTACAAACAACCACACAAAAGAGCAGAGACCCATCAGACAGGCTAAGAGGACACGGCATAATACAACCCACAGCAGCACGGACAGTGGGATGTCGATTTGTCTTTGGGGCCGTAGCACCTGCTACTAATTGGTGCAAAGCATTCGGCAGCCTCCTCCTGGCTGAGCACATCCAACTGTCGCCTGTGTAAGCCTAGCGGAGCTGGAGAGCTAATTGCTGCTGCCTTTCAGCCCGCTGATCAACGTGCTGAGCTAATAGCCGCAGATAGAGGGCATGCAGATCCCCGCTAGCAGCTTGGAGTTAGTTTCTTCTTGTACCTGAGGCAGTTGGCATGCTCCTCCAAACATGGAGAGGGAGGCTGGGGCGCCTCCTCGGGTAATACGTTAAGGGATTCTGTTTTATTATGTTTTATTCATCTCCAGTAACACTTTGTATGTGTGTGTGATGAGGAACCAGCGTGGATATTAATGCTTCATCAGAAACAGGAGCATAATTTGTGAATGAATCATCTTGAGAGTAGTGAGGGAGCCAACGCTGGTGGTTTGTAAAAGGATGTGCCGGAGCGATCTTGGCACCGGGAGTTACTGCATGAGCTCACCTCGACTGAAGAGGAAACTTTAAATGGCAAGTAAGTTCTTGGGTCCCATCTTTTTCATAGTCTTTTAAGATTGCAGTGAGCTCCGTAGAACAAGGAAAACTCTTTGGGACGGGATGTTTTTGGGTTGTGACCTCACTCTCTCTCACACACATTTGTTCAGTGTATTCAGGAGTGGTGACCAAAGACTTACTTTCTGGAAATTGTATCGCCTTTACTTCCTGAGGACCTAGTGATCGTGTGTGTGTGTGTGTGTGTGTGTGTGTGTGTGTGTGTGTGTTTTGTTGAGAAGTTACTGTAATAAAAATGCTTTTGAATTATAACTATTTCACTTGGCTTAAAAAAAAAAGTCCAAATCACTTTCTCTAATTTTCTCCCCCTGAAAGTGTAAAAATGTGGCATCCTGTGCTTTATCTCCACAAATACCAGTGTCTACTTTTATGTGTGATGTTGCTGGGGTATTACTTTGTAAGAGACCTGATCTAGTGTACAGTGAGCAATGCTGGACCCCCTGCTGATCTGTTGTATTGTGGATCTAGACGGTGTTACTTTTGCCTCTGTTGTGCACTGAAAAACATGTTCCTTTTGGACAGTGTTTGGGAACAGAAGAGTTGTGGGGCTTGGGTCTATGCTGAAGCTTTCCTGGTTATACAGAAGTAGTCCTATGTGGTCTCAAGAGTGATTCTACTTTACAGGTGTGTTTTGTTTGGGGAAATGGGTCCCAAGCCACTAGCTTCAGCTTGGTCTCCTGAAACTTTGAAGTGTGTGTCCCCTGAACACAAATCTGCCTGTGTAATCGTAGCCCCAACCTACAGACCCCAGGTTCCCTAAAAAGTAGTATATTCTGTGGAGTTAACTCCAGTCCTTCTTACAGAAAAGGGCCGGTTGTCAAGAATAGAAACCAGATGCCTAAGTTGTGGTGTTACTTAACTTTAGAGAAGGCATTAAGGTTTTCTGTTTGTTTAGAAAGGCATATTAGAATGTTGCCCCTAGTTTGTTTGGTCTATAAGCAGACTTTTGATAAAGATGTTGATTTTTCTCTGCAAGTTGCCTCTGGTCTATGTCCCTTTATTTTGTTCATCTGTGGCTGAGTCTGAGCCACAGTTTATCTGCCCCAGAGAAGTCTTCAGGTTTCAGCAACTTGATGCCTCTGCCTCTGGACTCCTTCTCCTATGAGAGGAAGGTGCAGTTGAATGGGTGCTCGGTTCCCCAGAGAGGTGACCTCCTCAACCCTCGCCTGGTGCTCAACGAGCCATGCTGATCCCTAACACAAAAGTTACCCCTAAACACTAATGGCAAAGGGCTTTGAGCACGAGGCTCACTTAGGATCTGCCCTGTAGAAAATGATGGAGCGGCTGCGACCACTGCTTATAAAGAGATTTCAACAAAATCTTCGTGAGACATTCTTAACCTGATGATAGGTTGGTGACTAAGTGATGGGATCAGTGAGCATGGGAATTATAAAAGCAGTTGCACAAAGCGTCTGTGCTTTTACATTTAACGTAAGTGAGTTGAAAGGTAAACTCGCTGTGCTTCCCAGTATTTCCATGTTTAAATTGTCTGTCTTTCATCCAGTATGTGCAAGCAGGCAGGCAAGCAAACTTCCGCCTTCGCTGGCATTGTCAGAAGTCCCAGGCTGTGTTGGTTTATTCATTACTGCTCTCTGCTCCCGCCAGATCATGAGGACTTTTACTTCATGAATAAGAAGGAGACTGTTTGATGAAAGTAAAATTGAAAAAAGCCCAGATATGACCAGTTTATCAGGTCTGAGGATCTGCTGCCCTGTGTTGTGAAAGTGAAGGCTTGATTCTAGCAGAGCCTATTATTCTGAAATTCATGATGTACAGGGCGACAGCACTTTCTAATGAACCAGTACTTAACCTAACATTATCTGAAACACAGAAGCCCCTAGTGTTTAAAATACAGTTAAAAGACATTTACATGTTAATACCTTCCTAACACTGAATGGAGATGCATGGTTTTGAGTATTTAAGTCATGAGCAATAATGATTTAAATAAAAGATTATTTTATTTTTTAAATTCATATTTTTTTAAATATGCATCTCTTTTTAAATTCATATTTTATTTGCGTTGATGTTTGATGTTTGTGCATATGTTAGCAGACACACTCCTTCCATGGAATACCTGGCATTTCAGGAGGTTTTGGGAGAGGGTAGGTATGTAACTCATGTTATCAGTCTTGGCTCTAAGTGCCTTTACCTGCTGAGCCATCTTTTAGGAGCATACATGACATCTTAAGGAGGAGGTTATGCATGTTTCTAAAGATTCCACTTTACTTGTGATTTCATGTTTATTAATTAATCATAGATTTGGATTATAGCCATATTGTTGCTGTTTTGTTTTTTTGTTTGTTTGTTTCAATTTTCCTAAGGAGTTATCCTTCCTCCTAGGATCCTTCATTTGCTAGAAACATTGTGTGACAACATCCTGGTGCTTTTTACAGATAAAATGATAGCGCAAAATTATGACATTGGAATTATCATTGTAGTTTAAAGTAACTCTCCCAAATCTACTTTCCACACTAGCTACTAAAGCTTGCATGTGAGCGACACCAGCTGCCTTGCAGTAGCAAGTTTGTGCGTGTTGTCACTTTATAAGGGCACAGATAGGACCGACAACTGCAGATGCCTTGTGGGGCTTTGGGTACTGTCCTCCTGCTCCTGTGATGCTGAGCTACATGTAAAATATGGAAAAGGACTGTGGGAACTCATCGGGATCCTTGGGGGATTTTGAGAAAGAAGAGTGACTCTGAATAATTATAGCAGGATTACATTCTCCCAAAGTCGCAGGTTCAAACACCTCAAAACTGAGCTAAGAAGATATATTCACTTAAATTCAATCGTAGGCTCACTAAGATTGGAGTGGCAACAAGAGAAGTGAATAGACTAAGAAATTAGCATGTAGCTCCTCCTTCCTTGGGTTGGTCTTGAAGGTGTGCAGGAGCCTTGTCTTACATGTGCATCCCCGGTAATGTGTTACTGAAGTAACGGAACTGGGTGAAGGTAAAAGTGAATGTTAATTGTTGTGCTAGGTGATCACACACAGAGAGACACACAAGCATGTATTCACCTGTGCACCCAAACACATCCAAACAGATACACATACGCAAGACCACAAAAGGTATGCTAGTTTATAGTGTATCCATGCAAACGTGTACACATAAAAAAGTCCCATTTATATAAGAAACAAACAAGCTGGGGCTGAAGAGTTGGCTCAGCGGTTAAGAGCATTTCCTGCTCTTCCAAAGGTCCTGAGTTCAATTCCCAGCAACCACATGGTGGCTCACAACCATCTCAAATGGAGTCTGGTGCCCTCTTCTAGCCTGCAACCATACACACAGACAGAATATTGTATACATAAAAAATAAATAAATATTAAAAAAGAAACAAGCAAGCTTAAGATTGTGTTCCAAGGACAATAGTTGTTTCCTAGGAACTTCAGCACACACACCATATATGTTGTCCTTCAAGGATCGTCATTTGCAATTCAGCTTTCAGGACTGTCATCAGCCAGGATGTTAAGTGGGAAGTCTGTGGGTTGTCAGTGTGAAATGATCTAAAATCCACTTGTTTTAACAGTCTCGTATTCACTGAATGAGATACATGTGCACAGATGTGTGTGCCAATAACAGCAGCAGAACAGCTAGTCTAAGATAAGTTTCTACTGGAGCGGACAAATGGAAAGATTGTCTCTTTTCTCGCAAGCTATTTGAAAGATGAGTTCAGCCATAAACATGAGACCGTGGCTACTGATCCCACAAATGCAAAAGGCACAAGCAGTCATTGTTTTAGGACACTACAGAAAATAAAGCACGACTCTCCTTCATGTTGCTAAATGGAAAATTCTGAAGCTTGTTTATTGTGTTTCGCGACGGGCAGGGGATTGACAGGAGGTGTAACTTCTGCGTGGTTTTTGGAGAGTAAGCATTCGCAGGCCACGGCAGGTGCAGAGCTCCTGCCACTTTGCAAGGACACTCATTCCCATGGCCAGTGAAAGGGCGGGATCCGGCAGAATTAAGCACTGTTTCCTGAGTGGGGGAGGTCAGCGCCGAGCGATGAAGTTTATCATTCAACTGGGCTCTGCTAGTGAATGCCTGCACTGTGTCTTCAGAGACTTGTCAGAATGGGCCTTTTCTGATTCCGCGCCACTGAGTCCTTATGGGGACGCAAACTGTTTATCCAAGGACAGTGACTTCCTTTTTGCTTCCCCACTTAATGGACTGATTTCTTCAACTTTGCATCTATCACAGGATCCAGAGAAGGATCTTTGAAACTGGATGAGAGTTTTTGTTATTTTTAAACCCAACATTTCAGGCAAGGGACAGACCATCACTGAGATGTCTCAGAAACTGACAGGGACACATGAGGAGGCACCAAGGTACTCAAAAACGAAATGAAGGAAAGGGGGTAGTACAATAAGGTGAGAGACAGTGTGAAGAGTGGGCTAAAAGGCAGAATGTAGAAAGATTGACATACATGTGACAGAAGATTAGACATTGAGGGAAGGGAGGCTGAGAGTAGACGGGTACAGACAGACACCTGGACAGAGACGTACACACAGAAACCGAAGGACAGCAAAAGGGATCACAGAATGATTAATAGAAAACAAACAAAGTCCCAGCATGCTGAATTACTCCTTGTAGCTCTAAATCACAGAACTCAGATAGTAGAAACAAATGATCTTGAGTTGAGATAGCCTAGGCTATCTATGGAGTCCATTTCTCAAACAAATCACAACATAACATAACACCATGCTTGGGGAAGTAAGGACAGTGCCTGGGGGGAGGCAAGGAATGGGAGACTGAAGTAGAAGAAAGGAAGAGAGAGAAGAAGAAAATTCTGTGTAAAGGATAGTGGATGAGGTACAGTGTGAATAGGTGAGGCGTGAATCAAAGAGTCTTCTTATTTCCGTAAGTGTAGTTATGGGAAGGGATGTGTGGGCGATAACGTGATCCAGGAGCAACAGCACTTGATTTATGCTCCAGAGCCTGGCAGCAATGTGCAAGCTGTGTG